CCAGGACCTCTTCTTTATGGCTCTAGTTATTGCGGGTGTTAATGGCTCGTTTGCGTGCCCCACCGCTACTTGCTTTGACCTTGCCCAAGTTCTGACTTTACACCTTGAAAAATTTCGTTACCAATTAGTTATCCGGTTTTATTTATGGTTTCTGTTACCTTGTTATTAAAAAAAAATAATAATAAAAAAATATAAACTGGAAAAAAACTAATAAATCTTTTCTGTATTTGCCTCTACTAATTAGTCATATATTAAACACACAATTACCAATATTGACAAAATTTTGTTCCTGTGTATTACTACTGTGGCTTGGTCGGTTCAATTTGTAACTAATAGAATTGTCACTCATATATCGTCGACATCTGTTGGATGGCGTCCTCCACTGCCATCCTATATCCTTAACCAACCAACTAAGGTTGGGAAAAGGCGCCATCACTCACCGCAATTGTGTTGTGTGACAAGTGAATTTGTCATTGGCTGCTCAAGTTGAAACAAAGCCGAGGCCGGGCAACAGAAAATGGCTTGTATTTTGTCCAGGAAAAAGGGAAGTGGGTGGGTGAGGTCGGGAGAAATTTGAATTTATGTTAGGGGCTGCAAAAAGGGAAATACTTTCATTTGGACCTGCCACAAAGCATTTCCGCTTTGTGGCACACACATAATGCAGACTGTGTGTATGTCCTTTTGACAATGAGTGATGCTTCTGTGAGCTTTGGTCAACACCAGGAGACATTGTAAACAAAAACAGCATGTGGCCGGGCATCATGATGGATAGCCACATATTAACTGTCTAATGCATACTGCAATTACAAAATAGGGGGTCTATTAGTTAATAGGAATCTAAAGTGTGTTTGCTGAATATAATGATATTGCTTCTGGTATCTTACCTTTGTTTTTAGCTAATTACTAGGCATATCTTATCTTAACATACCAAGCAGATAACATCCTTAGATAAATTAGTTAATTTATAAAGTAACTTTCCTCTTGATGCTTAATTTTGACTTTATAACTCAATTTTTCCGTAGATTTAGTTGTTAGTAAATTATTAACAAAGTAGTTAATTTATTAAATATTCTCAATGCGCATGCGCTCCTTCGGTGTTCTCCTTCTCCCTCTCTCACAGTTACCCTTTATTTTGTATGTACCATTTGGCAGCGGGAAGAACGTAGCCTCTTTAGCTCAGTGGTAGAGCGTTGGTCTCGTAAACCAAAGGCCGTGAGTTCAACCCTCACAGGAGGCAGCTTTGGGTCTAAATATTTTTTTATATTGTTAAGTAATAGCTGTTTATTTGTTTGTTGTATAAGGATTGCTCTTTTAGGTAGATAGTTATTTATCGAAGATTTTCACATATGTATGTTAGGGCTAAACAATTTAATTGGATGGACTTGATAGAACTATATGTTCGAAGTGCGTTGCAGACGATAAGGATACGGTGTTGGGTTTTAAATTTCGGTATTTGTGGCTTATTCACTGAAATAGAGAGTCCAAAAAGTGTGTGCTGTTTTCGATAAACCTTTATAATCTTTTAAGATGAAGGATTTATCGAACCTCTTGTTCCTCTGCCTTCTAAGCCTATTTATTATATAATAATCCTAAATTGATTTTATTGCTTCGCATTCTTTGCCCGATCACTGTGGTCAGTGTACCTTATAAATACTTCAATACAATTTAATAATGTAGGCGAGAATAACTCTCGATATGATCGTGAATAATTCTATCTCTCTCTTATTTGTTCTACTGATCGTGATCTTAATATATTTGCGATTTGGCAACGATCCCCGCATCGCCTCTTTAGCTCAGTGGTAGAGCGTTGGTCTCGTAAACCAAAGGCCGTGAGTTCAACCCTCACAGGAGGCAACTTGATGAAAACTCGATATATATATTTTTTTTTAATACTATTTTTTTCTAGTTATATACAAAATTTATAAAACTTAAGAAAATATGTATTAAAAGGCAAAACCCCACTCAAATTAAAAATACTTACCGTTTTGTATGTACTTAACCTTTATTGCTTTAATTTCCAATTAAATTTGTTAGTTCTGAAATAATTTATTTGTGCTTCTTGTTTTTGCGAGAGTTTACTGATTTCTAGAATAACATTTATTTATTTAAATAAAACATTGCTTATTATTGAACGATATATGTAAATGACTCACGATCTGCTAGATGATAGTATTAACAACCCTCTCTCTCTTTTTGTTGTTTCTTTCGTATGTTCTCGTTATCTCAGTTTGCGTTTCTCACGGCATTGTTTTGTATACGGCATTTGGCGGCGCTCTCCGCATCGCCTCTTTAGCTCAGTGGTAGAGCGTTGGTCTCGTAAACCAAAGGCCGTGAGTTCAACCCTCACAGGAGGCAGCTTGAAGAATAATATTTATTTTTTAAACCTATTTTTTGTTTTTATTTTTTTGAAGTGTGTTGATGTGAAACCATAAATAATTTACCATTCCTTATGTATTAAAAAACGCTAGGTTCTGGATAGTTATCTGCATTTAAGTTGGTTCGTAGGAGGGAAATCTGCGTGAAAGTCATAACTATACTTACGGCTCTCATCTTGGGCCCAAGTGTTATTTTATGACTACGTTACTGACATACACATTGCACTGTTCACACGCACGTGTGGGCCTTTAAAACTAACGGCAATGCGAGTTGTAAATAGGGTTTCGGGCTCTGTATGGTGAATGATGCGGTCATTATGGCCATGTATCTGCGTGGGATGCTGAGCGGGTGAACATACTCGTATGTGGACGTGCAATGATTATGTACCGGTACATAGTTACATACTTACGTTGCTTACTTGCTTGTTTGTGTTTGAGCGATAATAGGGGAAAGTGTTTGCAACAACATAAAAGGCGGAAATAAAAATAAATTTAGGCAAATTGCGAACATGGCGGCGAATACTTGTATATACTGGTATTCCATGCCATGCTTATCTTAATTACAACTATTTTTAGTTCCATTGATAGCACATTTTATCATTAAACGTTAATGATGATCGTAAATCAATAAACTGATTTAATGGGCCCCACTAATTAGGAACAGCTAACAGTGAGCTTACGGACTAAGTTTATCTTTATACTCATAAAACTATCTAATAATCCTCTTAATGGCATTCGATATCTACTCTTTGCTTAATGAAATTATCGTTAAGTACGCCAGACAAATTGATATATTATTTATTTATTCGAATAAGGTTTCGTGGGTAGAACTGTTTGATGTAACTTAAGCTAAGAATAATTGAAAGTTACGTAAATTTAATAAAACAAGGAAAGAATTTCAAGAAAATCTTCGTTCTGCATAATACATACAAAGTCTTTCCACAGGAATTATTCAAGAAAGACGTTTATGCCTTCGCGGGCTCTTAACCTGCGTAAGTAACCCTTATATTATACTTACGTTCAGCCAACCTGTGCTATGGTAATTAATGTGTAAATTGGGCCCCATTAAAGTCTGTCACACTTTCCATTTGGCTCGGTAATAAAGGTAACCACGTACCAAGTTAAGCATGAAGGGCTCAAACTTTTGAAACTCTTTGCAGGGATTCTTTTATTGAGGACAGCTTTAAGGAATCTTACCGCGACCTATGCTAAATTTATATTTATGAATTAATAAAGCACGCAGATGACACTTTTGTTGTATCGCCTCCAGCTGAGGACTGACTGATGGTCCTGGGACCGCTTTGCTCCTTCGTTTCGGGACTAATTGAAAATGACAGGGTGTCCGCCTTTTGTTGGTGCCAGCGGCTGAGCACCGGGAAAATGTTAATCAACGGGGCAACTTGGCTATGGCAAAATCAAATCAAGGTAATTTACCGTAAGAGACAAAAAGGCATCATTTCATTTCCCAGGCTCAGAAATTGACAACATATCCGCCGCCTTTTTTACATTGTTTATTGGGATGAGTGGTGTTGTGAGGGTTTGTGTCTGTGTATATTTTGAGAAAAATTGAATATGTATAAATGAATGATCTGTATAATGAATGATCTGACAAATAATTCATCTTTAATTATGATCGATTTAAAATTTGAAAAAAATTGGTATGTTTAGTTTTAAAGTATACGAGTACATAACTTTTAATTTAAAGTTGCGCGAATGTTAAGTGTGATGAGCATTTCTAATTCCTATGCAAATTTTTTAATGATACATTTTATCCAGAAATAAATACCTTTTTCCCGAATATTTTTCCCAGTGTAGTATGAAGCTGGCAAGGCCAAGTATTTGCCCTGTAATTTATATGCGCACAGCAGATACCAAATTTCACCATTCAGCGTTGGAGTTGGCTGCTGTCTTACCTCATTCTGGACCCGCAATTTGCATATTGTGTACATCTTGAGTTCGCACAGTCAATAACCGCCTTCCCCAAGTCCTTTACACGGACACAAACACCCCCACTCACACACACACTTTCAAAACAAAATCCTGGCTGTTGCTTAGTATGCAGGTGGCACATCAGCTCATCTTGGGTCTGTTTGGGGATCTGTATTCTGGGTCTGCTTTTAGGCAGTGCATTTCCGATTGGCGCCAACTTTCGTTTCCCTTTTATTGGTATACCTTTCTGGCTCTGAAGCACACACTTCAACACGCTGAACACACACAAATGCACACACACACTTACACAAAGAGGGAAATTGCAAAAAACAAGAAAGCATTTTCCCTTTTAATTTCAGCATTTCTGGGAGCCCCCCAACTTTTGGTTTTCTTGCTTTTTGTGCCAGGACCTTACAGCCCAGTGAAATGACTGTTGCCTGCTTTGAATTTAAACAAATGAGGAATTGTTGCTGCCGCTTTAATAGTCGCCCTCTTTCATTTTCCCCGACTTTCAGCTATTTATATACACTTTTTTTGTTGTTCCTGCCAACTTTTTTAAGGCTGATGTTTGCCCCCTTTCGACCAAGCCCCCCAACCACCATCCAAAAGTTCTGTTTGCCATTGTTTGTCCCCTTATTTTTGTTGTTTGGGTTGTTTGTTTATTTTCAATGTATATTTGATTCCTTTATGATTGTGTTTGCATTTTTTGTTTTTATTTCTTTAGCCGTCAAATTTAATGAGCTATCGCGAGTTGGGAGCTGCCAGTTCATAAATTTTATATGCCGCTATCAATGTCAGCGAATTTGTCTGCTGAAACCCATAATTTATTCATTGAATTTAATAATGAATGACAAATTTTGTAGGCCATAGCCTATTAATTAGCAGAGGATAAACAAAAAAAAAGTATATACACCTGTAATTTGAAATCCTGAAACTCACCTGCACCCAATTATGTAACTCCATCTATGTTTGGTTTCTTTAATTTATTGTTTGGTTTTCGCTTTTCGCAAGTTATACCCCTTTACATACATATTTGCTTGCTTAGTCGCACTTTGATAGGCTATTTTAGCAGTTTTACTTTGCGCTTCTCTAAATACATTTTACATTTCGTTTTAGTTAATTTAAATTAGTTTCAGTTTAATTTAATTAATGATACAATACATATCCGTCGCCTTGCCCGTTCAATTTGGATTCAATTACATATAATACTAAACATTTATAAGATACTTTCAATATCGACAATTGTTTTAATATATAATTAGGTATATATATATAGATATTTGTATATATCGATTCATATTATCTGTGTAAGAGAAGGCTCACACCGAGTCAGGAGTCAGTATATAATGGAGCTAAATAGTTTTCGGTTTTTCATGCACATTATTGATGATTACATATGCAGGGGCGTCTCTTTACACACGATTTCAAGAATTTATAGTTTTATACAATTTGTTCGTATATTTCATGAGAGTGTTTCATTTTCCCATCGGCATTTTCATTTCAAATTTCCGGCGAAGCGATTCGTTCAACAAAATTGCACTTCATGTGGACATGAATTCAACAACAAACCTGCGGAAATGTCAAAAATGCGATGCGAGATATGTCAGCGAAAAATGTTTTCATGAATTTCGTTTCAAAAGTGCATAAAATCAATACAAACAACAACTGAGTGGCTTCTAAAGTTTCAGCAAATTTAGTTTCGTATGTGTGGTATTCCCATCGTGATTCTGGAAGTCCTTGTGACCATTTTGGTTTTTGTTTTTGGCATTTCTCGTTTTAGTTTAAAATTAAATCGAAATCGAATGAAAGTCGACAAATGATGGGTGGTAAATGATGATTGCATTTCTGGATTGACTAGGCAATCAACCAGATGATGTGTGGTTTCAGCTATTTTCTAAAATGCACTATTAAATCATTTCCAATTATAGCTCCAGGACAGGGTTTTATCGTTCTCAAAAAATTGCCAAGCCAAATGTGGCTTACAAATCCCAAATCGTCCTTAAATCGTTCTTTCCCGAGCCATTTTCTTTTTTGTAGAATCGGAAACGATTCAAGAGTTATTGCAAAAGGGCATATCTTATGACAGCCGTTGTTTGTTTGTTTGGTTTTGTATAGTAAATGTACTTCTAATATCGATTTGTGTTTGAGTTTTATGGATTGCAGGCTGGCTTTCAGCTTGGGTCAACATATTTATATATATATGTTATATGGCCACATGTTGTTCGCCATTATCCTATTTCGCTATTTGTATATTCTTTACTTCAAGTTTCGATTTTTATTAGACTAATAAAACTTTAGATTTAGCATTTGCTTGAGTTCGGTTGTTTTTGTGGTATCTGTTGCTACAATATTTCGTTAGTTTCAAAGAGTAACCCGTATTTCAAATTGTTCAGTGTGATTTTAGTGTGATTGATTGACCACAAATACAAAGTTTAGCCAGCTGTTGTAGTCTTCTCTTCCCGTTTACTTCATTCTGAATCTGATCTGATCTGTTTTATGTTTTCTACTCATCTTGTTTACACTGCACTGGATCAACAAAAGTTGGGGCTAATAAAACGTTCGCTTTTGTTTTTGTTATCTGCACTTGCCAAATTGTTTTCATTTGTTGTCAGCCAGTAAATCCGAATTCGTTTCCATTCATCAAAGAGTCTTTACGGTGCAGAACAGCTCGTAATATCCAATTTAATGGGCCCACCCTGATTTATTGATTAACACGCTTAAACAAAACTATTAAATTAGCTGGGCAATCCAAAGAGAAAATACGTCAAATTAGCAGATGTGTGCCCACAAGTTCCCTCATTAAGTTATCTATGTTTGTCAATAACAATTTTCTAGACTTTAGTGTGGATTGTTAGTTCAATTGTACATTTGAAATGTTCCCATTTGTATATCAAGAGGTGGGTTGAAACTCAAACCATTGAATTGTGTGCGTCCTCCTGATCCCATCCTTGCCATTAATAAAGGTTAATCCCCAGAATCGTGTGCTTGGAATACTGATGGTTGTTGCTGCAAAGGAGGTTTTCCAAGTTGTTCTTTTTTTGATGTTTTAATGGCCTGCCGAAACGAATCCCGCACAAACGAAATATAACGATACAGAGCTGGATTGGGTGGGGTGTTTTCGAGTGCCTCCTTCATTTCCTTATCCTTAATCCCGGATGAAGACGAACTCGTTGTAGTGGTTCCAGCGATTCTCCTCGGTGTCCACACCCGGCTTGGGTTCCGCTGCCGATCCGGCGGTTCCTGATCCACAGCTTCCGGCCATGCGGTAACCATGGTCATGCAGATTGTCGAAGGCCTGTTCAATGTAGCAGTGCTTCAGGAAGAACCGGGAAGTATACCGATCCGTGCCGCCATGGTCAGGATCCCTGGACTCGTTTAGAGTATCGCCAAAGACTTCACGGCACTGGGCCACGCGTCCACAGACCAGAATACGCGACAGCTTCCGGAACTTGACATCTGCAAGTCCATCCTTGCCGAACTGGAAGCTACCACGATATCCAATAGTAATGCAGCCCGGAGGTCGGGCATCCCGCTCACCGCGGATGCACTCCAGCATGGCTGATAGCTTGAAATGCTCCGCCTCACGCAACAGCCGCTGGCGCTCGCGGAATCCCTCGGGCAGGTGCAGCGCCTTGTCGCGCAGGAAGTCCAGGATGTAGCGGAAGAGGACGCCATCGCGGTCCAGGAAGTAACGACCCTTGCTGTCCTTGGCCAGCGAATCGCGACCCTCGCCGAAGAGTTCGGCCAGCAGCGTGGTCTTATCCTGCTGCAATGTGGCCAATGTGGTTGTGTAGCTCACGCCGCCGACGTTCAGCTCGACGATTTCGGGCATGATGCTGCGGGTGCAGATTAACGTTTCACGGCGGATTGGATAAGTAATTTGCCAATAAATTTAATCTAAACACACATATGGACACTCGCGAACTTGGTGCACTATCTGGGTTTGTTTACAGCTTTTCTGTGGCTGTGTTGTATTGGCCTTTCCTTCTTTTCTGTCCGCCAAACGCGTCCGCACTCGTTCAGGTCTCGTGTCGAACTGTCGGGATTTGTGGCCAGGCCAAGACCAAAACGCTTTTCACTCGCTCGTTGGTGTACATTTGTGTGTATACATTGGGGAAGAGGCGAGATTTCTCTGGATATTTCTCATTCTGACTCTCCGGTTCTCAAACTCTCTGCCCTGCGCACTCGCTGGTCGTGTTATGATATTGGATATTATTGTTTAACAAGTGGTTAAATTTCTAAAATGTGCACGGATACTTCTGGCATATGTATGCGCTTGAAGGGTTGCCCTTTCGCCCGACTTTCGCCCGCCCGCATGTTATTAATTTGACAAGGGTCCGCAGTGCGTATACTTAATGGCCAATATGCTGGATTACTTGGTGGCAAAACTGTTGTTTAATGCCAGTGATGCTGCTGCTGCTTAAATTGTGTTTCCAGCATTAGCATTCAGCTGGCGTTAAGAGTGGGTTCCTGGTTTTCGGGGGACTTTCACCCCGAGGTCGGGCAAAGTTCGCTGCCATGTCATAACAAATTATGGCACATGGCATACTTTAAGGCGTCGCACATACTTTGTGCCTCGGCATGCCAACTATCCTGGTTTATTTTTTCACAGAATATGTACAAGTATGTATGTTAGGGGCGGGGGCGAAGGCTGTTCCGAGTGGCAACAGGCGCTGACAATTTGACACCGTGACACTGACATTAACATGCCACAGCAGGCAATGCAACTGGTTGGGCCTGGGCTGCCTTGGCCAGTTCTGGCCTCGTGCCAAATGGGCCACTCTGCCCTCGGTTTTTGGGCCACAGACACCCCATAGCCAGAACCAGACTGCCTGGCAGCAGTTCACCTGTTTGCTGTTGCTGTTGCTGTTGCCACCCTTCGCTGTTAACATTTCACGATATGTCCTTTTTGCCAGGCCCATGCGTGCCACTCGCTGCAATTGAATCAACAACAGCGGGCAATAACGAATACGCAACTCTCTGGCCCACTTCCTCACTGCCCCCTTCACACTGGGTTAGCCCTTTGACACGGCCGAGAAGAGCTGGGGATACACACAGGCACAGGCTGAGAGAAATTTAATAACAATATGCGAGTTTTCTAGTTAAATCCGCCTTTTTAATGCTTTAGAAGGAAATTCAATACGGGAAAAGATATTTATTTATTTTATTTTCTTACAGTTTGCAAATTAATTATAAGATTTAAATCGATTTTGTTAAGAGCGAAATCAAAAAATTAAATTAAATGTGTACAAAAATTTTTGTGACTCTGTCATTACTCTGGGAGCAAAAACTAAACCAAGAATGATAGGAAAAAATATGTTATTTTTTTAAGACATCATAATGTTAAGATTTTTATTCGATAAAATTAAAGATTAGGAATATTTAAAGTTTAGCAACTTAAGTTTAACCATATGTTTATTTCTATAATTATTATAATATTTAAAAGTAGTTTTCAGTGTACTCACCAATACACAAGCCATCTGCTAATTGCAATGAAAACTTTTCTGCCGTGAGTTTGGTGATGGCTTTTAGAGCGTTCAACCCGCCCAACCCCTTCAGTTTGCCGCCATTCGCTTGCTTACTCCGCTCATTTCCGTTTCCGGCTTGCGGCTGCTGCGGTCTCTGGCCCTCTCACTCCTTTCAACTCACCGTATCTATCCGTCTCACTATCCAGCTAATGCTACTGGTTGTTATCAGAGCCCTCCTATTCTGCCTACCCCTCTAAGTATACGCGGCCATGAGTTGCGGTTTTTGGCACGCATTAAGATGGCGCAACACTTTACGCGCCATTACGCGCTGAATGCCTGAATGCATCGGTGTGAGTGTGTTACTTTGTGTGTGTGTGTGTGTGTATGTGGGTGATGGCTTTGCTCTCTTGCCGATTCCGCGGTTCCGTTCCGTTGCTGTCCATGCCGTGAATGCTCCTTGTTTGTCTGGCTGACTGGCGCGATTCAAATTGATTTTGTCTGGCTGCCTTCGCCCACACACAGATATACGTTTGCCATTTTGTATCTGTATGTATCTGTGGGTTACTGTGTGTATCTATTTAGGTATATGCTGGAGCACTTTGTTTTGACAACGCGCCAAATTGTCGCCCCTCACTTAGCCAAAGCAGTTTGCATGCTATTTCTGGTTTGTTTGCCTGTTTACCTTTGGGGACTGTCAGAGTTCCTTTGGAGCGACAACATTGGCGTCTAATGGGTTGGGCTTGGGTTAGGCCACCGAAGCGATAAGGCCTGAAAGGAAGCCCTCAGCCATTGTCCTTTTCGAGCTGCACACTTTCACGGACCTCGCAGCCATTTAGCGTTCCCAAAATAAACTTTCACACTTCAAGGTTTCGCCTGTGTGTCAATCAAATTTCCAGTGCAAATTGTGCATTTGATTTCCCTGGATAAATTTGGCAGCTCTGGCATTGACAGAGCAAACAAAATTGGCATGCCTCAGAATGAAAAACGATTGAACTGAAATCAGCAATCACAATATTTCACAATATATTTTCCTTCATAAGATAAGATAATTTTACTAAGAAAGAAGGTCCACAATCTAGTAGATTAAATAAATAGGAATTTATTAGCAATATAAGTTCTAAGAACGCCAGATAATAGATTTCTCGGAAAATAGGAAAGAAGAGGCTTACTGATAGAAAATACAAGGGAATTTAGTGAGGAAAAATAAGATTAAAAGTATACTCGTATAATACACGAATTAAATATACGTATATCAGCACAACTTTAAAAGTTGAATACTAATTAAGACATTAATAAATAGATTATAAATTCATGTATAACCAGAATGTTCGCTATTGCATAGAAGAGAAGTATTAATGTTTATTACCTCCTAAAAACTTATCAGTTCTGAGGCATAAATAAAATTGAATTTATTTTGAATTTACGGCAATTATGACAGCATCAGCAGCCAAATATAATGTGCATGTGGAATATTTTTGTTAATGTTTTTCAACGTCTTTAATTCATTTATAGAAATGAATTTGTTAAAGACTTGTAGGCTACGAATTCATGGGAATTCGTAAGATAGGAAAAGCTTTTTAGTTCGCAATGTTAATACAAAAATATCGTAAGCTAGTTGTAAAAATGAAGTTAAAATACAAAGGCGGTGAAAATTCAATGATTATTTCCCAAATTATTTTGGAAATATTCCACAATATCTTTAATCCAAGTTCTTCTATGAATTGCCAGTATGTTTGAAATGGATTTGCTAGACTCTTGCTACTAATTGCCACTGGAGTACTCAACCCGAGCACTTATGCAAATGCACGCAGTGTCCGTGTGGTTAAGTGAGCCCGTGAATTCAAGGGTGTGGGATCCTGGTATGTGTATATGTGCGTGTGCATAATGCCAGCGATTTTCCTAGCTTAAAATGCAGGCCCATGAACGCGACCCATGAGTGCTAGAATGCGTATCCTCAAGATACATTGACGCCGACACACGGTTATGTAAATGCAAATGCGAGCGCATGCATAGCTGCTGGGCAATTTAACACCATGAAGGATGGCGAAATACAAGATGTATTTAGGTTTAGGCTTTAGTGGGCTATAAGATACTCTAACAGGAAAATTTATGTTATATATTAAGGAAGCTTAAAACTTATGAAGCAAATACTGAAGGTGAATAATTGATACATAACTTGGTTTAGTTTCCAAACGAGCTATGAAATTGCAATCGAAAAATGTAGAATTGTATAAAAAAATCAACTTTCTGGCATTATAATATCCTTTTACATAAATTGGGTTAAATTTGTGCATATATCCCAAATAGTTTATGCTTAAAAGACTCTTAAACATTTATAAATATATTTAATGCATATCTTAATGCATTCTGTAAAGCCAGTTTTCCTTTAAATTGATTGGCTTGCATCATAAATATTATTCTAGCCCCATCTTAAAGACTTCATTAATACAACAACTTAGCCTTCTTAACTATCATTTAAATAAAGGAACTAGTTTCGCTCTAATATATTACTATCATGTAAATACCAATCTTTAATATATATCGAAGTAAAAGTTCATATCTCGACGATATATCCAATAAAAATCTCCCTATTGGTAAATGCTACAAATTTTCCGCTTGACTTGAGAGAACAAATTCAAGTGTTGGCTTAAGTTTGAGTTGTGGAGTGATCGGGGATTTACTTGCAACTTGCAAGCGGCGGGGTCGTTAATTTTAAATGCGCAGCTCGGGGATAAATGCATCCCGGGCTGCAGTCACGACAGGTGCCTGCTGTTGACGTAGACGTTGATTTTTATTCACTGCTGAAAACAGCAACAGTTTGCTGCTAGCGAACACGCCCGACCACGCCCCTTTAAAGGCAGCCCTTCTCCCTCATCCCTTGGACTTTCCTCGATGGCATTGTGTGAGTGTGTATGAAGGACATGCCCGAAAGTGGGGAACACAAAAACCTTCCGGCATGCCTGCCAGCCTATGTATGAGAAAGTTGCTTTTTTGTAGCAATTTTTTACATTTCAGCCTTACCATCATTATTAAAAATAAGAGATGCTTGGAACCTCCACAGCTTTTGCATGCTCTAAATGGATTATTCAAAGCCTGGCCCATAAATCGTGCTGGGCCTTCAAAAAATCCACAAGTGGGTCGCACGTCCCTGGCTGGAGCAGCAATAACAGTACCAGATGGTGGATGTTGGTATGCCACCCACCAAGCCACCAAAACCAACCGAACTATCCAAGTGAAATGCAATGAATTTGTTTACAGCCATCGGTAGGAACCCTCTTTTCCATTCATTTATTTCTTTTCTGCACTTATCGATGCTTGTTGCACGTCCGTGAAGCAGCATTCGTTTTTACTTTTTTTCTTTTTGGGTAGAAAGCTGTTTTCAATCTCTCGGCCAGTCACTGCATTTGGCTATTTTCGTTTTCCCCTTGTTTATTTATCTTTTTCTGGCCATAGTAACCCATTCCCATTCCCAATGCCATTTAGTTGGATATCTGGCATTGGGGTTCCGGTTCCATTAGCCGTAGAATTGTATGCTGCTCACGTTTTGTTATTGCGGCGGATTTATTTTCAAGTTACAGCACAGTTGGACCTCCTTTTTTTGTCTATGGATCCATTTCAGGGTGCTGGGTTAAATTGGCGCTAAAAAGGTGGAGCTTATCTAATTAATCTGGCTCAAAGCTTTTGGCCCCAATGGAGCTGAAGTTTGATTCAATTAGAGAAAGTTAAGGAAAATTTTTTCCCGGCAGACACTTTCATTCATAAAAACATCGGAGAGGTTAAAAATACCTCTCGGGCGAATTTATCAGCTGACGCAGCATCAACAGCAGATTGCTGTTGGCCGTATTTTTGTGCCACTTAGCCACTTTTATTCGCATTCGCCCGGTCGCGACGTACAGCCTGCAGAAATATGCAAATTTAGTTCGGCGAACAATCGCGCAATTAATTGGAAATAATTGCGGAATTCATAGCCAAGGCAAGAGGAGAAGTTATTTATGAATTTCTGATTACATTTCGCGGTAAAAGCGTTTCGAGAGATGCAATCGTGGAGTGTAATTTCAGTTTCGAGAGTGAGTTTTCCACTTGACTTTGTCCTAACGAGTTTGCTTTTGGTTCTCATCGGATGCCATGGCGAAAGGACGAATGTGGGTAAGTGAAGTGCATTTTTCATCGCATTACATAAGCAGGAATTTGCAATCGTGCAACATGCAAATGTGTCATGTATTTTTATGCCGCATACGCAGCGAATGCCGATGGCGAACGGCGAATTGGCTAAATAAAAATATAAACAAGAACCCGCAAAGCAAAACAAAGAGCGAAATAATTAGTGTCACTCTCTCAGAAATCGTTTCCTCTGCTCTCAGGTCTTATTTACGAGAACACCGAACCAGATCTCGAGAAGATCTTTCACTTGGCCATAAGCAAGGCGAATGAGGAGAACGAGGATCTGCAGCTGCACGGAGTGTCGGTCACCATTGAGCCAGGAAACTCCTTCGAGACCTCCAAGAAGCTATGCAAAATGCTAAGGGTATTAATTATTAGATTTTAGCACTACGATAAGTATAAGAGGAAATTATTCAAGTAACGGTTTAAAAATGTTCTTTGAGCACAAACTAAGTACAAAAATCATTATTTTCCATTTATCCCTAGCAAAATCTGGTGGCCGTATTTGGACCCACCACGAATCTAGCTGCCCGTCACGCGTTGAGCATTTGCGACGCCAAGGAGCTGCCCTTTTTGGACACGCGCTGGGACTTCGAGGCCCAGCTGCCGACCATCAATCTGCACCCACATCCGGCCGTCCTGGGCGTGGCCCTGCGGGACATGGTGTTGGCCCTGGGCTGGGAGAGCTTCACCATAATCTACGAGTCTGGCGAATATTTGCCCACCGTCAGAGAGCTGCTGCAAATGTACGGCACTGCTGGACCAACGGTCACGGTGCGACGTTATGAGTTGGATCTGAATGGGAACTATAGGAATGTACTGCGGCGTATACGTAATGCGGAGGACTTCTCGTTTGTGGTTGTGGGCTCGATGGCCACTTTGCCGGAGTTCTTCAAACAGGCCCAGCAGGTGGGTCTGGTGACCAGTGATTATCGCTATATCATTGGTAACCTGGACTGGCAGACCATGGACCTTGGAGCCGTATCAACATGGCGGCACCAACATTACGGGTCTGCGTCTCGTGTCACCGGAAAACGAACAGGTGCAGGAGGTGGCCAAGGCGTTGTACGAGAGCGAGGAGCCCTTCCAGAACGGTAAATCAAAAAAAGAATGACAGTCGAGCACCTGAAAGTGTCGTGGCCCTGGGATCTAGACAATTTATGCAAATGCAAAATCCATTCGCATGAGTGAATTTAAATAATTGAATTGCATTTTCATGGCCCCGACGGGTAACGGAAATGATAAATGACGTTATCCTTTATGGCTCTCGCCCATTCACAGTGTCCTGCCCCCTGACCAACAGCATGGCCCTCGTCTACGATGGCGTTCAGGCTGCTGGCCGAGACCTACAAGCATGTGAACTTCCGGCCAGTGGCCCTCAGCTGTGGCGATGACAGTGCCTGGGACAAGGGCTACACGCTCGTCAACTACATGAAGTCGGTAAGTTCGTACATGAAGGGAAAATAAGTGTAAGTTGGTTTATTTAAACAATGAGTTATATTCATGAAAGGTTTTTCCTTTTATTTAATTTAATCATGTCTATCATTTAAGCATTAAAGGCACACATTTTACAAGAAGTGAAATACCAATAATTTTTTTCTCTGTGTACGAATCTGAATAACTCATGCAACGAGTCTCGCTCCACAGCTAACGCTGAATGGCCTCACGGGTCCCATTCGCTTTGACTACGAGGGACTGCGCACGGATTTCGAGCTGGAAGTCATCGAGCTGGCCGTTTCGGGTATGCAGAAAGTTGGCCAAATGGAGCGCCGAGGATGGCTTCCAACAGAATCGCCCGGCCCCGGCGCACTCCTTGGAGCCGGATATGCGCTCGCTGGTGAACAAAAGCTTCATTGTCATCACGGCCATTGTGAGTAGAATGACTAAACCTTGACCTTGACTTTATTTTTACTTTAACCCCAAATCACAGAGCGAGCCCTATGGCATGCTGAAGGAGACCTCAGAGAAACTGGAGGGCAACGATCAGTTCGAGGGCTTTGGCATCGAGCTAATCGATGAGCTGTCCAAGAAGCTGGGCTTCACCTACACTTGGCGGCTCCAAGAGGACAACAAGTATGGCGGGATTGACCCCAAAACGGGCGAGTGGAATGGCATGTTGCGTGAGATAATGGACAGTGTGAGTGTTTGGTTAAGTTGGGAAAGGTCCTGTTGGGCACCAGGACATTAATCTAATCGACAACCGTTGCTCTGCGGCCATTTAAATCAGTTAGCTTATCCCTTGTTCGCCCTGTATGGATATTGATTTACATTGAATGGCCATAAATGCTGTCATCATCGTTAACAAAATCGTTAATGCGGCCATAAACGGCAGGCTATTTTCAGAGTGCCTGTGGCATCAATTGTATCAAATTCATAGGGTTTATAGTTAAGCGATTAATATTAAGCCCTAGCTTTGTTTTTCTCTCCTCTGGTTGTAGAGATAATCATCTTATTTCCATTCAAAAGCAGTCTTTGTGCGCTTTAAGAAAGCTTCCTTTCAATGCGATTAACCAATAATACTAAATAATTTATTTTTTATATATGCATTTATTTAAACATCGAAAAAGAAACTTTTAAACATTTTCAGAAATTAGTAATTCAAATGGTTTGATATCAATATAGAATTTAGTTCCTTCTCAATTTAGTGTTTTTAAATCCTTGGTGGTGTAGTTGTAGAATTGGCACCACGTTTTCCCTCACTTTCCTTTTCCTTTTTATTGAATATAGATGTAAAATATCTTGCTCCAATTCTAGCTATGAAATTCCCAAAGACATAACCAACTGATCCTCCTTGTGGTCCAACTCCATCAATCGTAGTACTTCGGGGCTCTTCATAGTCGTGGATGAACTTCTCGAATTCTTGCTTGTCCAAGTTGGAAAGTGGAACTTCATTGGGGTAGCGACGATAAAAGGCAATCAGCTGTGGAATATGCCTTTCCTTTGCTGCATTATTCACAGAGGGATTATGATAGATGTCGAGTATTAAGTTCCTTTGGGATTCATATTGAGAATCGTTTAAGTCAGCAAATGCCAAGCAGAAGATGCTTAAGACTGCGACTAGAAAGTTGATAGAATAAAACCCCATTGCTTGATCGAATGGCAGGCACTGAAAATATTCTTCAGACAAAGTGCAATTTATAGAATTTTTTTATTTATTATAAGCAATTTCTGAAAAATGTACTCGAGACATATTGATTATAACAAATGATTTATTACGACGTTTAATCTCATTTGATAACGTTTTCTTAGAAATTCCAATATATATTTTTAAAATTTTAATATAAAAAAAATTGTTGACTAATGGAAAGCTGTAAACTATTTACTTACATATTGTATTATTATGTATTAAAACCATTTGCCGCGATGAATTTCACGGCATGTGCGCTTGGCAAATTAAAATGCATAATTTAAAGAATGCTCTATTACAATGGTCAATCGGGCGTATGCGCAATATTTACATCTGCATTTATGTATCTATTTATAAATGCATGCGTTCGTGCATGCAAAGAGGCCATACAATAATCTTTCATATTTAATTAGCGCGCTGACATGGGCATTACGGACCTGACCATGACATCGGAGCGGGAGGGTGGTGTGGACTTCACCATACCCTTCATGAGCCTGGGTAAGAGCACTTTAGTAAATTGTGTGTGTAAAATGGCACATATAAAAATCGATATTAGACAAGTAATTGAGTTAATTATTTATTGTGAAATTCGATTTCGTAGGAAGCATGTGTCTAATTTAATTTAAAGCATTAAAGTGAAATTTTGCAAAATAAAATTACGTTATTAGCACCAAACTTTATTAAGCAATAGTTACATTTTCTAAAATAAACGAATTTATATTAGCTAAAATGTAGTAAATGCTTTTGAAGATACTCTAAGGATAAGCTCTATAATCTAAAATATTATTAAGTATTTTTTAGCTCATTAAACATTTTAAACACTTTCAGGAATTGGCATTCTTTTTCGCAAACCAATGAAGGAACCTCCCAAGTTATTCTCCTTTATGTCGCCGTTTTCCGGAGAAGTCTGGCTCTGGCTGGGCCTGGCCTATATGGGTGTATCCATAAGTATGTTTGTCCTGGGACGACTTTCCCCAGCAGAGTGGGACAACCCGTATCCCTGCATAGAGGAACCAACGGAGCTGGAGAATCAGTTTAGTTTCGCCAACTGTCTGTGGTTCTCCATAGGCGCCCTACTGCAACAGGGTTCTGAGCTGGCTCCCAAGTGGGTATAACTTTCCATATTCCAAATTCCAAAACTTATGACTTTTTTTAGGGCTTATTCCACTCGGGCTGTGGCTGCATCTTGGTGGTTTTTTACTTTGATTTTGGTCTCCTCTTACACGGCCAATCTGGCGGCCTTTCTCACAGTGGAATCCTTGGTGACGCCCATCAACGATGCCGATGACTTGTCAAAGAACAAGGGCGGTGTTAACTATGGTGCCAAAAGTGGGGGTGCCACATTTAACTTTTTTAAGGTGAGATGCAGTTCTTCTATACAAATATATCTGTAAAAATCTGGGTTTTTTAGGAGTCAAACTATCCCACCTACCAGCGGATGTATGAGTTCATGAGGGACAACCCTCAGTACATGACCAACAGCAACCAAGAGGGAGTGGATCGGGTGGAGAACTCCAACTACGCATTTCTCATGGAGTCCACCACCATTGAGTACATCACAGAACGTCGATGCACGCTCACCCAAGTGGGAGCTTTGCTGGACGAGAAGGGCTACGGCATAGCCATGCGGAAGAGTAGAGATGAATACATATCTTAAAGATATCACCCTAACAAAGATCCCATTTTTCAGACTGGCCATACAGGGACACACTTAGCCAGGCAGTCCTGGAGATGCAGGAGCAGGGTGTTCTGACCAAGATGAAGACCAAATGGTGGAAGGAGAAACGCGGCGGTGGAGCCTGTTCGGTAAGTCACTTGGCTAATCTCAATCTCTGGCAGCTGGTGCATGTGTGGGTGTGTGCAGGATTCGGCCGAGGAATCTGGTGCCGTGGCCTTGGAGATTAGCAACCTGGGCGGCGTTTTTCTGGTGATGGGAGTGGGCTCCTTCTTCGGCATCTTTGTTTCCCTGCTCGAGATGGTGTTGGGCGTTAAGGAGCGCAGTGACGAGAACCAGGTATCCACCAGCTTCGAGAATATCCCCGTTACGTTCCGATTAGAGCTGGCCTGCTTTAAATGCACACACACACATTGCACCCCTTGAATTGCTAGTCGTGACATCTCCGACATCCTTCCTATAAAAAATCCCACAGGAAGCCCCCGACTCAGATGCCTCCTCACTGGGATTTGCCAATTTGGGCGGCGTCTACCTAGTCATGTTCGTGGGCAGCTGTTTTGGCAGTGTTTATGGCCTGGTCAACTGTGTGGTCAGCGTCTACTTAAGTGCGCGGGAGAACAAGGTAACGCCGTTGGAGCTCTATAAATATTTTCACCTGTGTCGTGACTAAAAACGGCGGCGAAACTGTCGTCCTAATCTGAATAACGGATTCTTTTTATCAGCTCCCTTATAGCGACAAATCGGAGCCAAAAATACTTTCACTACCTAATCAACTGTGTCGTCCTTAATTACTTCATCTTTATTAGTCTCATAATATTTAACCTAATATTGCTTTATTCAAGAATGCTTATTATAGACGTCTTGTGCATGTTATATTTACATGTCCTTTATTATAGAGATTTCTAATTAACACTGCAATCGTATCTACAGGTAGACTTCAAGACCGAACTTCTGGACGAGATTCGTTTTATTTTACAATGCTCTGGCAATACCAAAGCTGTAAAGTATCCAAAGAACTCTTCGCGGTCTGCAGCCAGTTCGAAATCAAAGGGCTCATCTATGTCTGTGGATTCATTGCCCGAGGATACTTCAGATGCCGAAGTATCTGGCAAGCATAACCATGCCAAGAAGTAAATTATCGATTATCGATGTTGATAACAATATTTTTATTACATTTTTGAGAAAATAACAATTCATTTTAATAAAAATAAGACTTTCTGAACCAATTGGTTCAAAAATTGCTTGAAGTTAAGTAAAAAAAATTACATAATAAAAAAGAAATGCAATTTTCTGAAATTTTTTAATTTTGTGGGTTATTTGAGTTACGAAAGGCATATCCTGACAAACTATCATCATCTAGGGGAGTATAAACATACTCGTATAAAACATAAATCAATTTCTTTTATCTCGCCTAAATTTGTATTAAAAACTTTATTTGTGCCTCGGTATGGGCTCTTGGTTGAACTTTAAAATATGAGATCTATAATCTAAAAAATTAATATAGCTGACTTGAAGGTTGTATTTAAGAGAAAAGTAAAAGGTCAGCATATACAAATAAATTTTTACAGACCAATAATTTAGTCATTAATACTAAACCGTTTAAAGTCGAGGTTTTATGATAAAGAATTCTGAAGAAATATAAAAATTCTAATGGTGTATTATATATTGTTTTCTCGGAAATTATAATATTTTAGCGCGGCATTAGTTGAGTCTACAAAAATGTATGAAATTTGCATTTGCTTGTATTTAAGATGATATAATGGACTCAGGTCGTATTAAAATATTTGTACTGTTCCAAAATATTTGCAATTATTAAAATCAAAAATGTATTCAAGCTTTTGAGCTTTTATAATTTTGACCTCTGAACGAACGCTTACATCGTAAAAAGACTGTTTTGACATGTTTTATGAGTCAGATGTAGAGGGCGCTAGTAATTGTATAAGATGTGTGTAAAAAAGTACAAGAACTGTGTAAAATAATGTAAAAATGTCAATTTCTAAGAATTGTTGATGCAGCTTCCTTCCAAATCATTAATTTGAAATTCCACAGTCAGAAACCATAGATCTTAAACTCTTATACATTTTAAAAACTGCAAAGCTTGGACTTTTAGACTTATAACTTGGCACACAAAATAAATATTTCATATGAACTTCTAATTATTTCTTCGAAATAAAAGATAAGAAAGTTAAAAAATGTTTTTAATTTAAATAACATGACAAATGTTTAGAACAGTCGAAAAATTCCGAAGCCATTAGTTTCCAATATATAGAAATATACTTTGATACTTAACAAATAAAACACAATTTCAATTCCTTTTGCATATCAATATATTTATCGATTTCCTCATATTATCGAGTGTCTTGACACATATTTTTACTGATACATCCAATATATTGGTAACTTCCACTGCGGAAATACATTTAATGCTTTTTGTTTAGACACTGAGATGTTGAAAAGGTAAAATTGTACGAAGTTTTTGGTTTGTAGGAATACCGACTGCCCATGTTCTGCTCATGTGGGTCTGTCTGTATGTATGTATGTATAAGTAGGGTACACGTGTATATGTTGTTAATCGTGTATAAGTTGTATAATAATACGAATACCATTTACCATATATAACTATAGTATTTATATTTGCCTCTGTATGTATGCAGCAATATTGCCCCAAACTATTTTTTATTCATTCTGTAACCTATATTGCAATGCGTTTGTATTGGCCACATTCACGCGAAGCACTCACACATGCACACACACACACATTAGGGTTAATTTATTTTGATTAAACTTCATAACTTTAATACCTGATCATTACAGTTTAGTTTTAATTAGTTTAGCTATAATTGCATAGTTTTATATTATCTGCTTTTTGTTACCATATATTATTATATTATTTAACTTTCCACTTCATATGCAAGTCTGCGACAAATTCAAATTTAAATGCTCAACATTTAACTACATAAACAAGATAACTCATCGCTTAGGCTTAACCATCTAAATGAAATTTTGTTAATTCACTCTATAGTATGGATTTTGCATAATTAATTTGCTATTTTTCCAACATTCAATTATCTATTTTTATTTATTTATTATAAACGTTTTTTTCTTGTTTGTGGCTGTTGAAAGGCTAGCGTTATCATATGTTTTTTTTCGAAATAATTTAAACGCTGGGAAGGCAGGCAGATAAATAATATATATATTTAAGCATTTGGTATGATTAAAGGGAGGGTATTAGTTGGTAAATTAACCAGCAATCGAATGCTGTGAAGCGGATAATGGACAGGCAAACAATCGTTCGACTAATTTATGCACTCAATTGCACTTTCATTGATAGCTGCGGCTTTTCGAATCTGTTTTTGATTTCCTATATTTTCTCGGATATGTAGGTATGCTCAGTGTATCGGTGGGTGTGTCAGTAGAGTTAGTAGTAGTAGTAGTATTAGTATTCAATCCCTTGCGATTAAGACTGTAAATTGCCACCTTTGAAGCAGTAAATAAAATAGATTTCCATCGAAATGTAGTAACATAAATAAAAATTGTGGTTTTCTAGCTCTCGTAAAAAGTTTGTAAGCTCGTCTAGGTTTTCCTTTGGTCTTTTGTATTCAATAGTGTGTTTGTGTATGTTTGCGTTATTTCCTTGGGCTTAGGGATTACAAAGCTACAAGGTATGTATGTATGTACAACAACAACAAATCCATGAATACACATAGCTAAACTGAACTCATGAAATGCACATTTGCGTTTCGACTTGTTTGCGTGTTACAAAGGACTTAAAGCTGAACGTTTCGATACACACATAAAGCATTTGCTTGTTACTAATAGTAGTAGTTACTGGCCAAAAGTGTAAATCAACAATTTTGTTAGGTTCTAGGATAAGGAATTTGGTGTTGTCCTACAAAAAGGTGTTAAGAGTTCTCGTATTTGCTCACATCGATTGGGAATATTTCCCTTATATTGTCTAACTAGGTAAGTAATACATCTAGGCGTGGGTTTTATGCATTATAATTTGATACACTTTGGTAATCAGTTTAATATTCTGCTAATGGCTAATCGACCAGTTCTTTAGTTTACCAATTTAAACTTTAAACAAACAGGTGACAAAGTCAAGCCAAAAAAAACAAAAAGAGCTATTAGCCATCTTCTCCGTTTAATGCTCCCTATCAACTGCTGTATTCAGTTTAGATTAGTATGGTTATTTCTCATATATACTCATACATATATATATATATATATATATGTATATATGTCTTGTTCTAGATTTATGTGTATAATAACTAGACTCAGTTTATTGTAAGTAGTACATACAAATTACACAAAGTTTTGTTTGATTTTTCATTTGATATTTGTTAATCGTTTTTGAGCGCTTCGTTTACTATTTATATCAATAAATATCTTCTTGTGTTTTGTATTTTGTATCTTGTAGGTTTTACATTGTATTCATCTCAAAAGTTCATTAAAATAAATGCCTTTTAGTTTGTTTGCTGGCACTTTAGTGCCGAAGTGTTTGTATCTGATAATGTAGTGTAAATAGTTCCTTGTTCAGTTGGTGGTTGGTGGGTGGTGGGTAGGGTCTGGATGTAGTTTAGTTAGTTAGTTAGTTGATTAGTTTGTCTTGGCTTGCCTTTGAGTGTTGGCTAAAAGAAGGGCCGAAAGAGTTTGATGAAACTCTGCAAAGGAGTTTCGAGGAAGAAGCTGTTACGAAATTTCTAAATCACTCCCGGAAACACTCAGAAATTCGCATGCGAATTCAGCATATATGTGTATACATGTGACAAGGTCATAGGTTCTGGTGCCTAAGTCCTCCCTCAATGTATACTGCTGTTTGTATTGGTATTGCTTGTAGTTTTTGGGCCCTCTCAAATGACACTCATGCGACGCCTGCCATTTCCGGTGCCCTCGGCTCAGTTGGCGTTGGCCAACGTCTCATGGCACACCTCCATGTAGTCCGGATCATGCATGATGCCCTTTATCATGTCCTTCAGCATTGTGTAGCGTGGAAATATCGGATACATCTTTGAGCTGCCGTACTCTTCCTGCGGGTATATAGATATACGGGATAAGCATATTGTTAACTTTTCACTGGTTTCACTCACCTTCAGCACACGGATGAGGTGTCGCAGTCCCAGATACTTTTTCAGCAAGCGGTACAAGTCGTTTATCAGCTGCGTATTCTCGTGTTCGATCTGGGCAGTTGTCATATCTTTGGAAGCAATTTTTTTAAATATACTTTATAGCCCACAGTCAACTAAAATCACTTACGTTCCAATCTCTCCATCCTTTCCCGGCGCTCGGCCGCCTCCTCTGCCAGGCGGGCTGAGGTCTTTACGCCCTCGCCGGACTTCTGGGTCTTCTCCATGATCGAGCAGGCCCGCATCACATAAGAGGGCACTGTTTCCTGCTTCTCCTGCCGCGGGATGTCCACCAGGGTCCAGTATTGGGTCTCCAGACGGATGACTTCCTGTGGGTGGTATATTTATATTTTTATTCCTGGATGTATTTAAATTGATTATATATCCCTATTTAAATTTTTGATTTAACACTTCGTTTATGTATATGTTATATATATGTTTTTAAATATGTTATATGTATATATAATTTGTTTTATTTATTTTACCAGAATATTATTCATCCAAAATATGTGTGGAATTTGTTATGAGCTTAATTTTTGTTAGAAATTATACTGAAATAGTCTGTCTCATACTACTATTTTAAAGGGAAAAAATTCTTTAAGCATAAAATCATACGCCTTATCAAATCCAGAATTTAAATTCTCTAGGTATCGCTTTAAAAAGAAAAAAATCCTAAAGCACAAATTTTAAAGCTTTTTATATCTTTTTTAAGTCCCAAAATGACACATTTCATTTTAAGCTAGAGGAAATGCTATAGTCGAGTGCCGCGACTATAAGATACCTGTATAATATTCATTTTGCTAGTGGAAATTCCCAAAGCGCCACCTATTGTCAGAGAAAGCATGTTGAGTAACTGATATTGACGTCACTGCGCATTTGAGGCCTTATACCCTAAATTTATTCATAAATAGCGAAATATTGTTCCGATTTGAAAAATCTTTGGTAAATCGATAGAGATTAACAGAAATAAGTTATACAAGGTCAAAAGAAGGCATACACCATAATATTATGGACGCCACAGTTTTCCGCGGCTTGTGGGCGTTAGTGTAGGCGTGGCCGTATTGAAACTGGGAGCAAGTTGCAGTGTCATCTTCTTTATACTTTTTCTTAAGCACAACTTTCTAGCTCTTATAGTTCCCGAGATTGAATTTTACTTTCTAGCTCTAATAGTTCCCGAGATTTCAGCGATTTTAGTTTTTCGTAATTTGTGAGCGTCAGAGTGGACAGGATTCTGAAATAAACTTGCGCTGACCAGGGACCTCAAGGATCTGTATCTGTATCTGTTATAGTTCCTAAGATCTCAACGTTCATACGGACGGTCGGACGGACGGACAGACGAACATGGCTCAATCGACTTCGCTATTGATACTGATCAAGAATATATATACTTTATAGGGTCCTTCTATCTGTTACATACTTTTCAACGAATCTAGTATACCCTTTTACTCTACGAGAAACGGGTATAAAAAGTCGGATTTTAATGAAAAAATCTTACAATTATCAACGTTTGCATTGAGTAATAACCACAACTAGTTGATAAGTAATTTTTAAAGAATTTTTGTACATATAATTTGTACTTTAACAACCCTTTTTTATATTAATACTCGTATAAGTATAGTGATTTTATCAGAATTTTGTAAGGGTAGTACTTTTTACCGACCTTAATCATCAGCTTGAGCATGGGATAGCGTTGGAAGATGTTGCGCTGGCTCTTCGAGTCGCCGTACTTGTTCATGAGGTTGATCAGGGCTTTCTTGGCGGTCTCGTAGGATTCCTCCAGACGCAGTCGCAGGGATCGCAGGCGCTCGTTGGTTTCGATGACCTCGTCACGCGTCATTCCGCTGGGCGCGCCCTCGTCCTTCACATCCTGCACGATTCGACGCACACTCTGCGTGAATTTGCCGACAAAGTTTGTGGTTGCTATATGGGTTAAAAAAATAAATAAATTAAATGATAAAGTAATTATAAAAGTGTACGGAAATTGCACGAAACACTGTCATTCATAATTAGAAATGTCAGTAGACACGCACATTAACCCTCATAATTAATCTGCGATTCATGCGGAAATTGTTCGACTATGGGAAAGTCAAACTATTATGCCATGATGATATCGCATCGAACGAGTCTTTCTTCTGAATTAAAAATAGATATCTCATCTTTTTTATATTCCTCACAGTACCCCATCCATCCATCAAGAATAACCGACCCGCGGCTGGCACTCGAACTTGCGACGAAAAGTTTGTTAGCGATAAGTGAGAAAAAACCAGCGGGCCTACATCGCGCTACCCGCCGCACCACGACCACTATCATAACGTTGTTGTCTTATGTTGAATACGTAGCTGTTCGAAGAATCCGTTACATGACCAATTTTTTTTATAGAATATCAGTGATATTAAATTTAAATATTTAATATTTTATATATATAAATATTTTACTTCTAAGAAAGTGACAAAAGAAAAAAATCTAGGAATAAATATTAAAACTAAATTATATGACATAATTTTTCTATTTTCCTATATTTAAAAATCAATTTTATTTTTTGTTTTAATAAAATTGATTTTGATAATTTTATTTAATATTTGTATAAAACATGTTTTTTTTCTTATTATTTCCATATATGCATTTAATATACTTGTATGTACGAGTATAAAAATAAAATTGATTATAATAAGGTATATTATAAAAAAATTTGTAATAGTTTTTTTATTTGTTAATCATTGTTATTTATGTATTAACATTAAATTAATTTATGTTTTATTTTTCCACTGTTTTTTCCTTTGTTTTTCCTTATAGTAAGATAATAAATGTTAAATTATAATTTTATAATTAAGAAAGGAATTTTAAACAGTTTTCTTTATACTCTAGTTAAAATCGTCAGTTTTGAACAAAACTTGGTAAGCAACAACGACCATTTCATAACTTTTTAAGTCCTAATGGCTTCATAAAGCCTTTTCAAACATTTTCATATAAACGAAACAATAAAGTTGGTTCATTTGCATTTACATAGGTTTTTATTGGTTGGTGGACCTTCATTTTCACGACGCCAATATTTTCGTAGCATTAATGAATGGGAAAACTCCAGCGTCGATTGAGAGCCATTTAATGGGCTTTTCGTTCTGATGGCGAAAAGTGCAATTAGCATTCGTCATTGTCAGTCCGTTTCTGCGTCCGTAAAGTCATGCTAAACGTGACATATTTCAGTTCCCAATTTGACTGCCTTTTAGGTCGTGCCTTCAGAGGGGGCTTGCTGATGGCTTCTGATTCTGGCGGTGACTTAAAACACTGGGAATTAGTCAAGCGTTCCTCCAGATGCACATTCATAATTAGAAACCCGGCCATCTGTGGATTCTGACATAGACAATCCCTTATGTGGAAAGTGCACTGTCAGTTTCCTGATATGAATCATTTATTTCCCGGCGTAAAGACCCCTCTTTGTGGGTGTCTGGAAAACTTATAATTGTTAAGTGGAATTACTGTGGCCAAGGACTTTGCCCACTGACGATGATCGTGACGTACCCAACATCCACAGACTTTGATCACAGCGCTGCTAGTAATTTGTGTGGTATTATAATGAATGTATTGTTTTCTTAAGAGAGCGGTAAAGAGCAGCGCTCTTTCATCTGTCTCTCTCTCTTTTTAAGATTACCCATTACTCGTAAAGTAGAAGGGTGTTTTGTGCTCGTTGAAAACTATGTGTGTATCATTTAATAAATGTTCCTAACTCTATGCCCTTACCAACAGATGGCGTTAGTAAAATTAAAGCATCTTCATTACATAACATTAAAAGAGTCAGAAGCTGTCGGTATATGAATTATGAAATTGGTTATCAGATTACTGAGTATCTAATAGTCGGGACACTTAACTATAGCGTTCCTTCTTGATTTTTTTCCCATGTTCGAAGTTTATTCATATAGTTATATACCAGAGAAAGATTCCAACAGTGCAAAGTCGGAGACCTCTCGGTAAGCATTGCTCTGTCGCGATCCGCCAAAAAGCATAAAAAGAAACGAAAAAAACAAGTAATAAAAACAAACTAAACGCGAGACAAACAAAGAGCTAAGCAAATTATATATGTATACCGCATACATATTGTAGATATATAAGAATATCGCGCCAAAAAGAATCGAGAATAACGCCAATTGAACTCGAAATTCGTGTGTTCAATTACTGAAATTAAGAGAAAAATTATTAAGCTCTATGTAAAACTGTTCTAAGCAGTGGAAATATCGAAGTGAAAAGTGGGATCGTGGATCTTTCAGAAGATATAGCAGCCATATGTTTTTTCCATCTTCTCGGTCGTGATTATCGGCTGGTTGTATGAGCTTTATGGGCACATAATGTTCCCGGGCTCTTGATTGGTTTATTGGCTTGGCAAATTTAGCCAACGGTTATTAACAGGCACCCGACCAGTTGGCCTTCTGCTCGGCTGGCGATTTTTTTTGCTGCTGCAGCAAATTTCCATATAAAAAAGCGCAATTAATCCGTGCTTGTGTTTATTAACCCTCTCCCTTGCTCGCCCCTGGTCTAATTTTTTTTTCCAGTACGTCTTTATTTACCCTCTCTATATGCCGGCTTGCATAAAATTTGGATTTTTCAAAGAATTTTTCTTTTCAAGATAATATAAATGGTTTCTCCCAACCTACATTGCGGAAGTTCTTTCTGATTAACATTGCAATCGTTTGGGTTAAACGTTAAAATATGCATGTTTCATGATAAGAGTGAGTTAAAAAAAGACCAGATTGTTGTAAATTCTTGCATCGGATAACCTACTCCGATGACCTTCTCTTAAAGGGAAAAAAACGTTTTTTTTTTAAATTATAATATTTGTTGTGAGAGAAAAAGTTCAAATATTTAATCTTTCTTGTCCCCATAAAGCCAAAGTTTGTTTTATTAGTCAGTTTATTATGATAGTACTGTAAGTCCAGCATGATTTTATTTTTGCTTTAATATAATTATTGAAAAAAACTCAATATATAAGTAATACTCAAATTTTCTAAGTACATTCAACTTAAAAATAACTATATCGCCTTTATCAATCTAATATTTAAGTGAATTCAGAGATAAGCAGTTCACTTAGCTACACCTTCATCTCGTGAATCATCTTGTTAGATAATAATTAAACAGCTTCTGAAGGAAATTCATGCCACGCAAAGTTAATAAGGCAATATGCAAGGCAATAAATAATTGTAGAAAAACATATCGATTTGCATCACGATTGTCATTGATCAGAACAAAAGTTTTATTTGGTGGGAAAAAACACTCTTTACCCGGTTAAACTCGTTTCGCGGATCGTGGAAATGCAGAGTTAAGGCTCCTGAGACTGTGCCGATGGAAACTGGATTGTCCCAGATCTTTATACTCATATCCCGAGCCAGCCAGAGGACCCTACATAAATAAGCCGCTTTCGCTGGCTTCATTTGATGGCCGACTGAACGCATGACAATTCATACCGTAATACATCAGTATCAGTGGGTCGGTTGGGTTGGTTCGTGGGTTTTGTTAGGGTTAAAAACTCTCTCGACCTTCTCCCGCTCAACCCACTGATATCAGCGAAAACGACAACCCAGAGTTTGTTTGACTGCCGAGCTGCGGAGAGACGGCTAATGAGCAAAACGGCTTTTGTTTGTCTTTTTAGCCCCAAAGTTCCCCATTCGCCGCTCTTCTTGGGGCTTCCAACTAAGCAGAGTACCTGCGTAAACCAGTTTTTGCTAATTTGACAAAATACACACACACGCACACATAAAACAACAACAAAAAAAAAACCGTCGACATGTGTAAGCTTTTTTTGGTGCGGGAGTCTGGGCTCAAATATGTTGTTTGTCTTTGGGCTTTGGTTGCTTTTTTGAGAATGAGACTCCGACTGAGACTAAGAGCATGGCAGATAGCACATAGCACATAATTTGGCCAACAGCAAACGAAACGTGTTGTTGCCGCTCATTGTCTTCATTGGAGCTGAAAGATACTGAAAGTATCTAAAAGATACTTTTCGCTTCGCACATAATTAAAGTCATGTGTGCGTGTGCCCTTTCGGTCCAAAAATATTTCAAGTTCAACCATTCATGTCTCACATACTTGGGAATCCCCGGCTTTTGTTTGGAGTTTATTTATATATATACTTGAGCCCCTATTTTTACATCGGTCTTGATTGTTGATTTCCCTTTATTGGTTTTAATTGGCATTTTATGTTAACAAACATAGCATTTTCTTTATTCTGGGAAGCAGTGACGACTTTAACCCTTATCGGTGGAAGGCTTAGGGATTTCCAAGGTGCCTGCATTTCCAACGAGCTTACTCATTGCTTAAACACTGGTCATGAATCTTAAGTTCCTACAACTTGCCCATGGCTCATCGTGGCCACTTTCTAGAATGCAAGTGTTATTTATTAAGAAAATAATCACAGCTTTTAAGGCAGAGCTTGTGTATTACATCAAGGCGCTTATTACAGTTTAATTGCATATTGTGCACGAGCCTACAAATTGCCCTGCAGTCTGGCTTAGATTAAATTTCTCTAAGCCCGAAACCACAGGCACGCGTCGAGAATTGAGGTTGGGTGATCACATACTATATTTCCCACGATGGTTGCGGTTTGTCACGCCCACTCTTACTCACTGCCTTAGGTTTGTTGTTAGTGAAATCATAATTTTCAAGAGATACGGAAGCTAGGAAATACCTACTTTTTTACACTCATAGTTCATAAAGCGGTTCATTTGCATCTAGTAAGTAATAATAGCTAGTAGTTATAACCAGTTAATACTAAAGCCCTGACGTAATCGAACTCAAAACCAGTTCGATTATTTGTTTAGCCCATTTTTGTTCTTCTTTTTCTTGAAGTCTAAACATCATCCAACCTGTCAATGACCTTCAGTTTTCCATCAAATGCTTTTTATATCAAGCACCTTAGAAAATATTCAATTAAATGT